TGAGAGCTGGACCATAAAGAAGGCTGATCGCCGAAGAATTGATGCTTTTGAATTATGGTGCTGGAGGAGACTCTTGAGAGTCCCATGGACTGCGAGAAGATCAAATCTATCCATTCTTAAGGAAATTAGCCCTGAGTGCTCACTGGAAGGACAGATCCTGAAGCTGAGGCTCCAGTACTTTGGCCACCTCATGAGAAGAGAAGACTCCCTGGAGAAGACACTGATGCTGGGAAAGATGGAGGGCACAAGGAGAAGGGGACGGCAGAGGACGAGATGGTTGGATAGTGTTTTCGAGGTTACCAGCATGAGTTTGACCAAACTGCGGGAGGTAGTGGAGGACAGAGGTGCCTGGCGTGCTCTGGTCCAGGGGGTCACGAAGAGTCGGACACGACTAAATGACTAAACAACAACAAAATGGGCATGAAAAACCCCTGCTATTTTTATCTCCCCAACAGGCTACTATTAATCTGTCGTCAGTGTTTGGGATTTCTCTCTCTCCCCCCCCCCCCGCTTTTTATATAGGATATATAAAGTCTCTATAAACTCAGCAGCATGATTTATGACCCGCCACCAAGGGACAACAGGAAAGCAATTCAGCAATGCCGCTTGTCTTAACTCAGGTGCTTAGGATTAATGTCTCCCCTGTCCACCACCACATGCTGAGGGATCTTTTACTAGGCTACAGGTGAGTCCAAAAAAGCAAAAGGGGCCAAACCCACCAGATTCCCCATGGGGAGATTTTGCTCACCTGCTTTTAGGAGATCATTTATCCATTCAAAATTCCATGCAGGTGGATCTTCCCTGGGGTGGATATCCTCACGTAAGATGTGTGCCTTCTCCAAGCTGCCTGTGGTCGTTCACAGGCCGCCGTGTCTCTCTCTTTTCTAATTTGTGGCGCTTATATCCACAGAGGCTGAGGAATAGGCCCCGCTTCCGTTCCTCTGATACTGCTGCCAGCTCGTTGGCTTGGAGGTAGCAGTCGAACCGAGCGAGGTAGGAGTCCCATGATTCAGAGGCTGGCGCAAACGGCGGTAGAGGCACAAGTGAAGCCATGTTTCCGATGCCGGAGAGAAGGGCGATGGATGGAACACAGTGCTCTAGCCAGAACGGTCAGCTCTGAATTGGTTCTGTCCAGTGATTTCGCTCAGTGATTTCGCTCTGTGATTCAGCTCAGTTCAGAGGATGGCCACATCTGGCTGTGCTCTGATGTCCACCGATCCCATCCTCGTCGCCAATGTTGAATAGTGGGTAGACATGGCAGACGACACAGCAATTTCTCCAAAGCAGCTCTTTATTTTGTAAGCTGGAACAGAAACTGAACAGCAAACAGCTCAGCCGGCCTGCTTTTATAGGCAGCCAGCTGTCAACATTGTAGCAACAACAACCCAGGGTTTCCCGCCTAAAATAACTGACGTGGACCTGAGTGAAAACTATCTACAGTATCCCCCTGCTGGCCCAGGGTGAGAACTTCAGTACATAACACTTGGCATCTCAGAGTAGTCCCAAAGCGGTTTCCAATCTAATCAATAAAACAAAATCATAGAATTGTAGATTTGGAAAGAACCCCAAGGTGCATCTAGTCCCATCTCCTGCAAAACAGGAATCCAATTCAAGAACCCCCTTGCAAATGGCCACCCAACCTCTGTGTATAAAAAACCTCCAAAGAAGGTGTTATGTTCTGAAGTTCTCACCCTGGGCCAGCAGGGGGATACTGTAGATAGTTTTCACTCAGGTCCACGTCAGTTATTTTAGGCGGGAAACCCTGGGTCGTTGTCGCTACAATGTTGACAGCTGGCTGCCTACCATCACAAAAGAATGGCCAGCCTGCCCAGATAAAGCAGTCAGTTACCATTAACAGATATCCTGGCCAACAGGATTTCTGCTGTAGCCCACCTCCTGTGATGAATTTCTGCTGTGGACCTGCCCCCTTCTGTGATGTATATATGATGTTTCGGGGGGGGGGGTCTTGAGCTACAGGGTGGGCAATTTCAAAAGTCCATATAAGGGCTTGCACACCATTGTTCTGGGTTCCTCCTCCCTCCTGCGTGTGGTGAGTGGGGACCCTGTTGCAACAGTTGGATAAAGATCAGGCTTACTAGCTGCTTTCCTTCTCAATAGTCTCTGGTTGGCCTCTGTTATTTTCTCCTACTGATGGGGAACCCACTTAAGGACTCTTGCATACCTCATAGGGGGAAAGGAGCAGGCTTTTCCTATAACATAGGACTTCACATTTGCACACCACCAAGTTGGGCCAGTGCTCCAAGAAAGGACCCAAATATGCCTTCATGCCTCTTTCTCCTCCTCCTCACACACAAACAGTACTCTCCCTTGTGTATTTCCATCTCGACTGATTGCATACCCTCCAACATTTCTCTGTTGGAAATGTCCAACGGATGCCCTATTATTATTATTATTATTATTATTATTATTATTATTATCTCCTCCCAGCCACTCTGGGCTGCTTTCAACATACATAACAACATAATAAAACATTAAAGACTTCCTATACAGGGCTGCCATCAGATTGCTTCTAAAGGGTGCATAGTTACTTCGCTCCTTGGCTCAGGGGTCACAGAATTCCATACCCTCCAAGATTTCTCTGATGAAAATAGGGACGTCCTAAGGAAAAGTGGGACATTCTGGGGTCAAATCAGGAACCGAGACGGCTTCTGTAAATCCTGGACAGCCCCTGGAAGAGTCTACGCCACAGGTAGAAGCTGTGCAGAGATGCAGGGAGGCTCTGCCATGTCCTGGGTGACTCCAGCTGAGGTTCCAAAGCCCAGGTGGCCGAAGGTGGAGAACCAGCCTCTCCCAGAAGGCCAGAAGGGCCAGGGAGCCCGGAGGACCTCCTTGGGAATCAGGGGCTGCCCAAGGCCTGGCTGGACAGAGCCGGCTGAGAGGCTCCTTGACCGTCAGGACAGTCCTGGGAGCCAGAAGGGCTTCATCCAGGAGCAAAGCCCCAGCTGGGGTGGCTACCTGGCCTTCCAAAGATGGTCTGGTTCCCTTTTGGGGGCACAGAGTCCCCTGCTCCCTTTGGGATGCCGTTGGTCACGTTCTTGAAGGCATAAGAAATAAAATGTCAAAGTTTTCCCCTCACCCTAACCTGCTCATCTTGTGCAGCCTACCTGGCTAGGCACCTGGGAAGCTGAGCCCGCCCTCCCTAGCTGGCTGATTGACGCTCCAGGCTAGCCAATAGAGCTTATCAGCCAGCAGGCTCTTCTGGGGTGTGGGGAGCTGCTGCCAATGGCTCCCAGAGAAGCAGCCAGACCTTTCCTGGAACAGCAGCCGCTGCTTGCAAAGCTCCGTCTCCCTCAGCCTCTCGCTGGGGGTCTAAGGGGTCTCTGGGCTCCTTTCCGCCTCAAGACTGGAGACTGCAAAGGAGGCCTTCTTCCATTGAGGGTTCAGTCGCTGAAATGGCCCGCATGAAGGGTGGCGTACAAATTTAAGAAATCATCACCACCACCTGCCATGCCCTGGACATTAAAGCACCATAACCTTCCCATATTGGAGCTCTCAGGGGGATGAGGGGTTATGCGAACCCCCTTAGGATGTTGGAGGCAAAGCTCCATGAGGAAAAGAAGCAGAATTTCTTGTTATCTCTTCTTCTTCCTTCCTTCCTTCCTTCCTTCCTTCCTTCCTTCCTTCCTTCCCTCCCTCCCTCCCTCCCCTCCCTCCCTCCCTTCCTTCCTTCCCTCCCTCCCTCCCTCCCTTTCTTCCTTCCTTCCATTTTGGACTGGTTTCTAAATTTACCATCCTTCTGGCAGACAGAAATTCAGCAGGTGGGGCGCATTTCCTTTCAATCTTCTTTTTTGGAATGTTTGCACTTACAAATCGCTTCTATTTGATCATTGTAATGGATTGCTTTGAAGCCATTTCTGCACTGGGTAAAGTAATTTTTAATCCCCCCCCCCAAATCCCCCACACCCCCACCAATATAAGGGCCTTATATTGCCTAACCACAGAATACTCTCCAACATTTCTCTGATAAAAAGAGGGATGTCCCTTTGCATAATGATGATTTTACTATTTATACTCAACACAAATCAAAATGTTTATTCGCTTTACGCCATCATGAAACACAACACAACAAACAAAGTCAAATAACAGCGGACTGTACAACCAAGTATATAAACAGATCACAACTCACAGGGCAGATATTTGCCAATTTATAAGGTTTTATAAAAATTTTAGGCCCTAATAAAATCAATTTTGTTAAACATTCTTATATTTACTAATTTATACACTTTCTTCAGAAAGAAGCTATATTAATTCAAAAACACTGAACATAAAATAAAAACAAAAAATTCCTAGAAGGATTGCCTTCTGACGATTGGGGAACAGATAACTCCATACCCTCCAGGGCATATTTTCCAATGAGATGGACACTCTAAGGGAAAAGTGAGACATTCCAGGATCCAGTCAGAAACTTGGATGGCTTTGCTAAATCAGAGACGCCCCTGGAAAATAGGGAGACTTGGAGGGTCTGCCAAAGGGGGCAACCGTAGGCCCAGCAGAAGCCTTGCAAGCAAAGTTGGAGGCCGTCTTTCTATTTCCTATCAGGGAGGCCCTTGACTGGGCCAGTCCAGCCGCTTAGACCTCGGCCCTTGTCTGTGGGCATAGGCGCCGACTCCATGGGGCCTGAGGGGGCCCGAGCCCCCTCAAAAATTCGTTTGGGGGGCTCTGCCCCCCCAATAATTTAAGAAAATTATTAGTTTCGCGCACTGCTTCCCCGCGAAAGCGGGCGGAGGCGGCGAAGCGGCGGCGAGATCTAGGCTGCCCGGGGAGCCGCGCCGCGGCCGGGCGGGCGGGAGTCCCCTCGGGGGTCGGGGGCTGCCTGCCCTCGACTCGCTCCTCCACGGCCTCCGCCCGGGATGCTGCCGCCCGGCCCTCGCCGCGCCGCCGCCTCTCGCGCTCCGCCGCCATCGCGGCCCCCGGCGCCCCCCCGGCGCCCCCCGCCATGGCCCGCCCGCCCGGCCCGCCCTCGCCCCTCCCGGCCCGCCAGTGCCGCCCCCTTTCTCGGGAAGGGAGAATCCGCCGCCGCTGGCCAGAAGGGGGAAAGCCGAGGCGAGACAACCTCCCGTTGATCATTCGCTTAGAAAACTTCCCGGGGCAGGACCCCGGTATGGGCCCCCCCAATATTTTTTATAAGTCGGCGCCCCTGTACCTTGTCTGTGCTTTCCTGATCAACACAAAAACATGAATGGGTCTGATCCATTCTTCACATTCTGACGTTCCTGTTTCTCTTTTCTCACGGACAGGGAATTGATTTCGACGAGGATCAAATATCGGAAATCAGCCTGGAAGATGGGGAGGATCTTCCTCCAAGGTAATCCTGTGCTAACTCCCCCACCCCCATGATCCATTGCTTTCAAAAGCCCCCCGGTCCATTTCTATGGTGGTGGTGCTTGGGGTCCTTGAAGGATGGGAGGCAATAAACCCTTTTTACAAAAGTGCTACTCCTCTCTCCCCTCAGCATCCCAACCACAGCTTCTCCGGATGCGGCTGATCTTCCTCCTGAAAGCGTCAGCAAGGACCAGCTGAAGGACAGACTTACGGATGTCGTCGCAACGATGAAGAGTGGGAAGATCCGAAGGAAGGCGCTTCAAGATCTTTCCACCCTCCTGCAGAAGATCCAGGAATATGTGAGTTCCTGAAGGGAAGCATTGCAACCATGCAGGGCTGTCAAGGCCTTCAGGCTGCTGCTTCTAGGCCCACCCTGCAAAGTGCCCAAGGGACAATCAGGCATCCCAGCACTTATCCAATTTGGAGAACAGAGCTGGGCCATAGCAGAACGAATCCCAGCGAGTGAAACAGCTGAGAAAAGAAGTAAAAAGTGAACATCAGGAAAAGAGGGGTGGGAAGTCAAAAAGAAATGGGGTTTTTTTCTGTATAGGATGCTAAATGTTTTGGAATGTTTGGAAGATTTAATAAAAATGTTATAGGGAAAATGGTGATGGGTTGCTTCTCTTATCAGTCCCTTCTCTGGGTTTCTTCTCAGCCATCGGTAGCGCTTCCTGCATCCTCCCTTGGCCAACTGGTGGCGATTTCCTGACTTTGTGCATTGGATCCAGACCCAGAAAGCAGGCAGCGGGCAGCAGAGGCCCTCTGCCATCTTTTGCCCATCCTGCGGCGCAACGAAGGTAAGACTGGAAGAATGCATCCCAGCATGAGGTGGGGTGGGCAAGACCCGAACTAACCTTTTGGCTTTCCTTTGCAGAGACGCTGGCACGAACGTCAAGGTCACAAACCAAACACTCATCATCAGAGCTCAGAAGGTCCTCAATTCCACCAGAGCTGGTGAGGAGGCTGCTGTGTTCACAGGGAACCTTACCCACAGGACTTCCTGAGCTGCATGCCAGGTGAGTGAGGCATCTGGTGGGCTACTGGGACATCTGGTGGGCTGTTTGGATGGGACGTTTCTCAAGGAGCCCCTTTCTCCTCCTGACAGAACATCCGCAGTAGCGCATCAGAGTTGTGCTGCAGAGATACCATCTTCTGCTCTCCGCGGGATCCAGTCTGGACCAGCGCCAGGAACATGAACGCCATCAGGATCGATGAAGAGGAGTGGTGCTGCCCTCACGACCCTCCGTACACAGCGGTAGGAAACCTTTTTGTTGTTGTTGTGTTTCTTGTTGATGTTGTTTTTGATTCTTGATTTTATTGATTGATTTTGAATTTCAGGGTGGTTCACAACACCAAGTTACAGTATACGAAGCACAAAATACATAATACAAATAATCACTGCACAAAATTTGTAATAAAAATATCAGAACATATGATTGGAATCCCCTTCGGATCTTGAAATATGGGTCCCCCAACAAAAAAATTAAAATTCAGCTTTGTAATTCGCAATTTATGTGATGTGATTTGATTTGATTTGATTTGATTGGTCGGTTAATAAAAATTACATATATATATATATATATATATATATATATATATATACACACATACATAATAAAAATACAATAAAAACATATGCACATGAATAAACAATACAAAAGCCCCGAAACAACACTCCAGGACAACAAATACACAATCTAAATCAATATATCACATTTAACAACCATTTGAAACAACCCCACCCTGCAATTCAAACAGCACCCACCCAAGTTAAAACCCCATCCTTGTTAAAATAGTCATGTTAACACATGGGGGCTGGCCCACAATCTGGTCCCACCCCACAGAGGGACGATCTTACCTTTGTTGTTTCCCCTTTCTTGGGGGTCCCACCCCCAGGACAGGCAGGCTTTATGGAGCTCCCCCAGTCGCTGGTGTCCACCCAGGGTCTGGTTCCTTGCAGGACTCTCAGCCGTCCTCTTGAGTGGGGGGCAGGCAACCCCCCAGAAGCAACTTTCTTCCATTTCTTTATTAGAAAACACCTCCTCCTTTTTTAATTCTTTATTCACCAACAGCAGGGATTATTTTGGGGGCAACTAGAGGGTCTAACATTCATGAGATTTAGCACCCTTTCTAACAGAATCTCTTTTCTCTCTTTCCTGCATGGAACAAAAGCACGATGGGAAACAGCGGCCTATCAGCTGGAGCCTGGGAGGAGATGTCTGGAGAAAAGAAGGGCCCTGCAAGAATGTCATCAGCCGGGAAAGGAGCAGCCCTGAAGACGACACCTGCAACACCAACCCTCCACCTGGCAGTGAATTTGAGGACTGGACACTTTTTATTGACTCTTTGGGGACTTAAAACAGCAAGCAGGACTTTTTTTAGTAACATGGATAGGTTAAAATGGATGTCTCGAATAGTATAGGCAAAATATTTAGCATTCAAGGGTAGATAACACTATACTAGATAGCATTTTGTATATTATTTTTTCCCCTTCTTTTTTATAATTATCTTTGTTGTTTTCCCCCTCCCTTCCCCTCTTCCCATCACTTTATTTCTTTTTAGTTGTAATTCTTTTATTAAAAATAATTTTTCAAGGGTAAATATGTAAACCATGGAAGGGGAGGACAGGTAGTCAATGTATAAAGTAACTTACACTTTATGTTAAAATTTGTAAAGGGCTTTTTTGTGTAAAATCAATAAATACGTGTTTTTAAACAATAAAAATTGTTCCTGGCTTCCGTCGTCTTTGGGCCTAGGCTGTTGATGGGGCCTAGCAGTTATTTTGCAGTCTGTTTTGAGCCAAAAAAAGTGGGTGGTGTCGCGTTTCAGGGTGGTGCCCCTTTGTGGAGGTAAATAGGACCTTTGTGGAAGGCTTTACATTTTCAATAAAAACACATACAATCTTAGAACTTGCAGTTTAACACTGTTGCAGCCAAGCCTCCTACAAACGCACACGCTATTCCCCCTTGTGCATTCCTGTCTCTTCTGGCAAGTGGCTGAGGCAATAATTTTAGGTAATTTAATTAAGTTTTCTTCTGCTTTATGTCCCGTGACATAAAGATGTAATGAAATTTTAAAATGCAGTAATTTTACACCCAAAGATTATTAATACTGCAACAGGGCTGCTAGCAACAGAATGTCAAATTACCTGGTTTGCAGATGCATTGAGGTCCCCCCCCCTCCTATTTTTCCTTTCTCTTTCCAGAGGTTTGTTATGTAGGATTTACACTCTCCTGCAGAGGGTTGCTATTATCATCATTATTAGGGGCTTGAGCGATGATTTCTCTTTGGCAGGAAAGCTGCCAAAAGCTTTGTGGCTCCTGGTCGACTTCTGCATGCATCAGGTTCCAAATAAAACCCCAGGCAAAGTCCATATTGGTGTGAGGCCACATCAACAAGCCTCTCAGGGCAAGGTGGAAGAGGGATACAGAGAGACCAGGCACATTGAAATATAAACTTAATGGGGCAACGGCATCCAGGTTCAGATCACCACTCAATCACAAAGCTCCCTAGGTCTGTAACTGTCTTGTAGCCTGAGGTACGTTGCACGATTGTTGTGAGGGTGCAAAATGAGAGAGGCAGGACCATCATACCCTCCAACATTTCTCCGATGAAAAGAGGACATCCTATTCCATAATAATAAACATAATTTTATTATTTATACTCCGCCCATCTGACTGGGTTGCCCCAGCCACTCTGTTTCCAACATACAGCGGTAGCTCAGGTTAAGAAATTAATTCGTTCTGGAGGTCTGTTCTGAACCTGAAACTGTTCTTAACCTGAAGCACCACTTTAGCTAATGAGGCCTCCCGCTGCCACAGCGCAATTTCTGTTCTCATCTTGAAGCAAAGTTCTTAACCCGAGGTATTATTTCTGGGTTAGAGAATTGTGTAACCTGAAGCGTATGTAACCCGAGGTACCACTGTATATACATAAAAGCATAATAAAACATTAAGCGTTGCAGGGTTGCCTTCAGATGTTTTCTAAAGGTTGCATAGTTACTTAACTCCTTGGCTCAGGGGGGAGTCACATAACTCCTTACCCTCCAACACTTCTAAGGCAGTGGTGTCCAAAATCCACTTTGGAGGCCTAATCCGGCCCTCTGTTTAATCCGGCCCCTGTGGCAGTTTATTTCCTGGGGTAAAATTCTAAAAAATCTCAATAACTTTGGTCGGCCCTAACGGCCCTTCACTTCATCAAATCTGGCCCTCTTTGGAAAAAGTTTGGACACCACTGCCCTAAGGAAAAGCGGGACATTCCAGGATCAAATCAGAAGCCGGGGTGGCTTCTATAAATCCAGGACTGTCCCTGGAAAATAAGAACACTTGGAGAGTCTGGACCACGGGAGTTCTGTGGTTAAAAAAAAATAAGGCAGGACAGAAATGAAATTGATTGATTGATTTGGTTATTTCTTTTCCCCATGACATGAAATTCTGCACCACCCAAAATGCTAGACTATTAAAGGTGCAAAGGGATAAATGCTTAGCATTTATCTCATACTATCATTTTAAAATATATTTTTACCCTTTAACGTAATTTTTTAAAAACTCACGATAGTAGTTTATGAAATTATGCATGGCGTAGGGTGGCGGGTGGCACTGTGGGTTAAACCATAGAGCCTAGGATCTGCCGATCAGAAGATCGGCGGTTCGAATCCCCACGACGGGGTGAGCTCCCGTTGCTCTGTCCTTGCTCCTGCCAACCTAGCAGTTCGAAAGCACGTCAAAGTGCAAGTAGATAAATAGGTACCGCTCCGGCGGGAAGGTAAACGGCGTTTCCGTGCGCTGCTCTGGTTCGCCAGAAGCGGCTTAGTCATGCTGGCCACATGACCCGCAAGTTGTACGCCAGCTCCCTCGGCCAATAAAGCAAGATGAGCACCACAACCCCAGAGTCGGCCACGACTGGACCTAATGGTCAGGGGTCCCTTGACCTTGACCTTAGGGTTGAGAAACGTTTTTCTCCCTCTCTCCTAACACTGGAACTCGTGGATATGCAAGGAAGCTGAATGTGGAAAGAATCAGGACAAAGAAAATAAGGGCTTTTTCACAGAGCACATGGTTATACGGTGGAACTCCCTCCCACAGTGGCCCTCACTGCCTTGGGTGGCTTTAAAAGAGGGTTAGCCAAATTCACGGAGCAGGAGGTAGTTTTGCAAAAGAAAAAATAAAACTTGGATGAAAGGGAGCTGTTGGAACAAATCTGGCCTCAGAAATGTTTGGCATTCAAAGGCTGTGGCGCTGGGCTCCTGGAAGTTAAGCCAAAAGCAAGCAGTGAGCTGAATCAGCATCAATTACTTTTATATTTTTTTTCACAGTAGAAGCCGTGAGAAGCAGAAAATCCTGATGAGGCAGCAGAAAGGCAAGGCCTTTTCCTAAAAGAGTTGAAGGGACTGTTAGCGGCCAAGGTAGAAACAGGCCATATATTCTTTCACGAGGGGCAGGGGAGCGCTGGGGTTTTGTGAAACGCCATTATTTCATTCCGAAAAAGTCACTGGCCTTTTGGATATAAAGAACGTGGGAAGAGCCTGCTGGATGAGACCAATGGTCCATCGAGTCCAGCATTCTGTTCTCACAGTGGCCAACCGGATGCCTGTGGGAAACCAGTGTGGGATGTAATCCACTGAGAGCAGTCAAGTACAACATTCCTTGTTTTGCTAGAGTGGGCATGCAAGGGAATGTTTGGTGCAGCCAGTCAAAACTTCCTGTTTCTCCTGGCCTGGAGCATCCTTCCTTGCATGTGACTAATGGGTGGGCGTGACCTTTCCAGACCTGGTAAAAGGACAAGGCGTGTTGGCACTCTTTTTCTTTTCCATCTTCTTTTCGTCCTGCGAACTTCCTGGAATGAACTGCTGCCTGCCAGCTAAGCAGTCCGCCAGGTCATCTCCCTTATGGGATAAACCTGTTAGTATAAGTTGGTAACATTAAGCCTAAAGCCTGCCTTCAGGGATCACGCTGTGCTCTGCCTGATTGTGAGTAAACTTTCTTTTTATTGCATATGAATAAGACTGTGGTGCCTTTATTCTTTTAGATTTAAAAGGGGATCCTTACCAGGAACATACAATTCAGTCTGAGGGAGACTAAATTGCATAATAGTAAGAGGTTCTAACGAGCCTGCAACCAGATTTCTGCTGTGTGAGAGAAGGGGAATGTAAACTTTGCTAAGTAAAGGAACTTGCTAGCACAATTTAGGAAAGGTATTGTGGCGTTCATATGGCGCCCCTGGTTGTCTCACGGACTATTGACCTGTATACCACTAATCCGCTGCCACCAACCAGGTCCTCCCCAGTAAAACCACTTCAATCTCAGTCAGGTTCTCAAATTAATAAAGAAGAGTGTAGTTTATTTCAGACACAAACAAACTTTTACTGCATTCCTAACATTACTCTTTACTTTCTTAGTCTTATTTTCCTCTCTCTATCTCTTCTACCTCCCCTCACTCAAGAACTGCCTTGTCTGCCAACTGCTTCTCCAACTGCCTTTTCCAAACAGCCAACCCACTAAAACCAACCAACTACCCTCTAACAAACCTCGGGCTAACCCCTTTTATACACATGTAGACTCCGCCTCCAGCTTTCCTATTGGTCTACATTTTTAACCCTTTCTTTTCCCCCTGCACAGACAGGCTCTAAACGAAAGGGCAAACGCCACAGCCTCAAAAACAAAAACGCAAAATAAATAGCAAAAACAAAAGCATCAAACTTAATCCGTTCCGGAAGTCCATTTGACTTCGAAATGTTTGAAAACCAAGGTGCAGCTTCTGATTGGTGCAGGCACCCCAGAAACAATAGCCGACAGCAGCATCGGACGTTCGGTTTCTGAAAAACGTTTGAAAACCAGAACACTTACTTCCACGTTTTCGACATTAAGGAACCAAGGCGTTTGAGTACCAAGGCGTTTGAGAACCAAGGTACCACTGTACTTCCACTTTATTGCAAAGTCTTTGATCAGATCCTCAAAACCAATCTTATGTAACGCAACTGCTTCTAAGCAGCGATAAGGCACCCAGACTGCCTTGTTGCGTAAAGGTAAAGGTAAAAGGACCCCGACCATTAGGTCCAGTCGTGACCGACTCTGGGGTTGCGGTGCTCATCTCGCTTTATTGGCCAAGGGAGCCGGCGTACAGCTTCCGGGTCATGTGGCCAGCATGACTAAGCCGCTTCTGGCGAACCAGAGCAGCGCACGGAAACGCCATTTACCTTCCCACCGGAGCGCTTCCTATTTATCTACTTGCACATTGACGTGCTTTCAAACTGCTAGGTTGGCAGGAAGCTTTGTTGCATAGGTGTTCTTTAATATACTTCAACTGAGAAAATGAACACATGGCTGAGCAATTTGTGACCATTGATACTAAAAATCCGGCCGAGGGAAATTTCCCTGGTGCCCTTTTCCCTTGCTGCCCTCAGCATCTGCTTATTTCACTTAATGGCTTGCCCACCCCTGGGCCCCCTCCTCGTACCTTGACAACTCCTGACTCTCATGTCGGCAGCGGCTGGCAATGTGATCTAGAATTGCAGCCCTGTGAGGCATCCTAAATCACAGAAGAT